AACCATCACTTACAGAATCCTTTGTGAAATGCCCAAACTATGTTTAGGCCTCCTAACCATTGGCTTGTTCATTTTCCATCATCCAACAGGACACAAATACTCTTATTATCCCCGTTCTAGAGATGGCATGACTGAGCCTCATCTGTATAAGCAATTTCCCAGAACTATTGAGCTTTGAAGTGACACAGCAAGGTCTGCAATCTACGTCCTTAAATTTATCCTTCTACACTCATAAATAGCAGGACTGAGGCAGAAGAAGGCAAAAAGTGTGGAATTCCAGACTGATGAAAAATCATGTGCTAAACTGAAGCTGACCATGGTGGGGGAGGAGTGTGTGTGTGTGTGTGTGTGTGTGTGTGTGTGTGTACATACTAGTTCGAGCTCAGGCTGGAATCTCTGTTAAGGAGAAGCTGGGTCCTGGGCAGACTACTACATCTAGGAAGCCACTTCCCCTGACTTCACAAACTTCTTCATCTTCCTAAAAACCCCATGATACAGGTATCCATTTGCTGACAGGTGAACGCAAACTTGCCCACAGGCCTTGGAGTGTCAAGGACTGGTATAAATGTTATAAATATAATGAAGTATCATATTATGTGGGAAAAAAAACTTACCAGTTTGAATGCCACTGAATCCCAAATTTATACAAAAAATGCAAGTGGCAGAAAAATGCTTGGTTCCTTGAAAGCTGTTTCTGCTGTCAACAATTTGATTTTTCACCGAATCTGCTAACCTCCCCAATGGAAACATTGATTGGAGTTGCTGTGTCTCCTCCAGAGGCTCAGACAGCAAATAGCCACTGGGCTGATGTTACAACTTCGATTCAGGTCCCTTAAAAACAATGATAGAGGGAACAAGGGAACATATTCTGCTATACCCTGGAGAAAAAAGCCTGGGAATGGCATTTTTTTTATAAAAAGGAAAATAACTTGGAGGAAATAAACAAATTTTCACTGAGGCACATTCTAGAACAATAATGACAGCTACTATTGGTTAAAAAGCTAACTGTACCAGACTACCGCTGACGGGCTTTTACGCAGTGACTCGTCCAATAGAATCTAAGACAACTCAGTCAGAGAGAGCTATCTGCGTTTTCACAACCCAACCAAGGTTTAGAGAAGCTGAGCAATATGTCAACGACCCCAACTGAATCATTAGAAAAGGTGAACTGCGAGCCAAATTATGTTATTTCACATTCCTAGTGTTGTTCTTCTGTAATTAAAATTGAGCCAATGTAAGGAGGGTTTAAATACAATTAAACAATGCCACTATTAAAAAGAGACACTAGCTGACTTTTCTTTCTTAAAATGACGTTTTCCTCCTTTTTCTGTTTTTTTTTTTCTTTCTTTCCCAAAAGGAAGCAGAAACATTAGCTTATTTTTTACTGCTCAATTAATTACTGTGGGATTTTACCTGGCGAGATCAGTAAGCCTTCCAGGCAGACGCCATTGATCCAACTATAGTGTCATTATGTGCCTGTCTGTATGTGTGATGTTGGAGGGAAGGCTTCATCTGTGGGAATCTCAGAGCCATCAAGCACCTGACTCCCCAGGTTGTGGTGAGCTCGCACCTGCAGCTCTTCCACAATCACCTTCCTTGGAGGATACAATATTTAATTGCTCCATGGCGTTTCTCACTGCTACACTTCTTGCCAGCTAGCACCATTAGGGTTCCCCAGAAAAGCCTTAGGAAATCAGTGAGCTTAGCCCCCACTCTCCTGAAGAGAAGTGGGATACAGGTGTCTTGGCATTGTCTAAGGTCATACCTGTTGGCTCCTTCAGAGTCAGTAAGAGGCACTTTCAAAGATGACCAGAGCACTAAACCTAAAGAACATTTCTGTGTCATAGCCCAAGCAAGTACTTTGACTGCAAAAGCCCTGAATTCACAGGTCATACACAGTGAACACCAAAATAATTTGTTATCATCATAATAAATGTATTTTGCCTTGCTTCAGAAAATATTCTTTAGTAATTTTGTACTCAGGCGAATGACTTCACCAACTCAAAGCAAGTAATGTCTTCCTATCGCTATCGAGTGTTGAGAATGAAATGAGAAGATGGTATCAATTTAAACTTTCTGTATAAGTGATAAAATCCCAATCAGCATAAAGATAAGCAAAAGGATGCTTTACTGTAAATGGAAGAAATGTCCCTGAAGAATATGGATGCAACTGGATGTGAGGCCAGTAACTGGGAAACTCTGAATCAAAACTGGAGCAACTTGGGCACAAACCAGTGCCCACATCCAGTGTCACAGGCAGACACCTAATCCTATACCACAATACTGACCCCGTGAGGGAGAACTGGAAGCAAACACTCAGATGCCATCTAGATGGTCTTCTTGTTCCTGTCCCCACTTCCATATATGCATGAGTATCTCCCCTCTCTCTACTGCTAAGCAGAAAATGAGTCACACAATTACATTCCCTTCTACCCAGGCAAAGAGAAGAGTTAACTGATCCAAGTTCTGAATGCTGGGATAGAACGGTGACTGGCCAACCTCATGCCCTACATCTAGACTAGACAGTCAGCCATAAGAAGCAGTGCTTTACACCATGCTTGGATCTCTGTGGTATGCATGTTGATAGAAAAGGGTTTTACATGGGGGGAAAAGTGGGAAGGGATTGGTTATGAGAGAGAATTTCACAACAGAAGAAATAAGCAGGGTTGACTAAGAGAATACATGAATATATGATAGCTCTTTGCTATCACAATACCCAATTCAGAATAGATACATTGATAAATAGAATTTTGGCCAAATGTCGATATTTTTCCACATTTTAAATGGCTATATTTGATTGAAAAGTATAATAGAAGCAGTAGTATGTGCCCATAACGAAGATCCTCTATTTTTAAGGTTCAGAAGATAGATGATAAGAATAATGCTTTAGATGTGTATCAATTAGTTTCCACCAAGCACTTTAAAGGTACAATAGAAATTCAACCAATTGAAAATAGAATTTTGTTTGCTAACCTGTCTACCCTCCTGTTGCTGAGAAACATGTATCTTACATTTTCCACTCTTCTTGGCTAGTTTTCTGCCTTTCAATCATCTTGGTGTATGAAGCCACCACTGAATTTTTAGCATTGCAGATCCAAGAACCTGAGGCCTTCATTGTTGTGCAGTGGGTTAAAAAAACCACTGTAATACCAAATACCAACATCCCAAACAAGCACCAGCTCAAGTCGCAAAGGCTCCAATACTGATCCAGCTCCCTTCTTCCCACCAAGAGAAGCAGCAGAAAATGGTTCGAGTGCTTGAGGCCCTGCTTCAGCCAGGACTGGCTGTGGCCACTGCATATATTTGCAGAATGAACCAGCTCCTCTTCTTTCCTCTCCTTTCTCACATTCCACAAATCTACCCTCATATAAACAGATCTTATTTTTTAAAACCTCTAAGAAACGGAATAAAGTACAGATGATCCCTGGTGTTTTATGATACAATTTACAATTTTCAACTTTATAACAGCATTAAAGTGATACAGATTGTAGAAGCTCTACTTCAAATTTTGAATTTTGGGCTTGTCCCTCGCTAGGGCATGAGCCATGGACCCCCCAGGGGAAGCCACTTGCTCCGCACAGCAGACTGTTGTAAGCTGCGATCCTTAGTAAGCTGGGAGGAGTTAAGGCATTTTTGAGTCAGGATAAGTGGGACATTAGCCTGTTGTTAAGCCAAGGAGCATCTGTATTCGAAACTATTTCAAAAACTCAAGAAAACACCCTCGCGTGATTAGCACTAAAGAGCACCAAGTTGAGAATGAAAAGCCAATTTCTATTTTCCTCTCTTCCCCACAAAACACGGAAGACTTGTAGACACGTCATTTGTGCTTCCTGTATCCACCCATAAGGCTGCCTGGTGGTGACCGGCTGCCCTGTGCTTGAGAACATTTGCGGACCGACAATGAACAGGATCCACACACCGGAAAACACGGGCAGGAACTAGAACACTAGACATCTCTCTCAGAAGGAGAGTCTCCACTAAACAAGAATCCAGTCTGTGTGTAATACAAAAGAATTACTTTTCTTGGGGGAAACTGTGGGAGTCCACCTGCTCCTTATTAAGTGAAGGATTCAGTCAAAAGATCTCAAGGTTTGGGAAGAGTGTGTGAATTTCTTCCCATTCCAGAATTCTTTCTGGCTGCTTCTAGTTTAAGACTGAATAATTGAGGCGAGAATAATCCCAGGACTTTTCAATTCCAATGATAAAAGATCAGAGTCACTATCACAGGAAAAAAAGAGAAAATTGCAAATCTCATTTCACACTGGATTTTGCTGTCACCCTATAATTCGCAGAGAGAGAGGAAAAATTAAATTTAGTGAGCATTGATGTTCCAAGAGTTGGCTAAAGGAAGCGGGAGAGCTACCGGTCTAGAAACGTGTGTTACAACGTAGGGTTGATTCCTTCACATTCATTCTCAGTCTGAAAAGCGTTCTGTGGAGTGAAAAGTGTTATCATAACAGCAATATTGTCTGGAAATACAGTTCACACATTCTGTGTCGCAGGCAAGAAAGGAAAAGGACTGCTCAGTTACAGCTTAAATGAGACAAACACGGACAGAAGACTCACACCGTGTTCAAGTTGATTCTACAAATACAGAATCGGGTCCTTTAAAGGCCCTTTCAGTTCAGGTCTTGGTAGACAGGACATTAACATATGCAAATAAGCATGCTATAGTTGATCAGAGTTAATCTTTTTGTAATAACTCATGTTCTCATCCAACAGCCACCACTCCTTCTACCCTTGTCAGCTTCACCCTTGAGTCAGAATAACAGAGACGGTTACTTTTTACTTGATGTGATTTCAAAACGGTTGAAGCTGGGCTAAAACCCTCACACTTCTCTTTCCTAAACAGATTTCGCTCCTGTCCTAATTACATGGCTTTACACTGATTTACATGAATTTCAGCCTTAAAATTCATTGGTCTTTGCTGAATGCAAATGGACACAAGAGAAAATTATATTAAGCTTGTACAATTGATCTTTCATCATTTCAAAGTGTACCTTTGCTCAGTTCCTGAAACGTCTGTCTGAAACACTCCCAGCGCTGAGTGTCATCAATAGATGGGGGGTCACACTGCGGGAATCCATTCTCAGTGATGTAAATTACAGGGTTATTATACGTATCCTAAAACAAAACAGATGTTTGGGGGAAAAAAGGAAAAGCTCATCAAATCAGGTGACTTACCCCTATCTTCTCTAAATCACAACCCCAAACTAGTCTCCATCAAATTGCAGTGACCCTATTGACTTAATTTCCCATGCACTGACCTTCTGTGACTAACAATGGAAAAGCAAAGCTGTGTAAATATCCATGAAGACAGTCAAATGACTGTCATTATAATGAGAAGACAGAAATATCTTTCTTCCATCAGCATCTTTCAACTGTCACTGCTCTTTAACCCATTGGTCCTGTAGACACCTACACTCTCTGTCTTATAAGAGGGGGTCCAGAAAGATGTAACTTAAAATTTTAATTTTAGCTGGACACCATCCACTCTTGCTGAGTCCCAGAGAGGCTCTTGTTACCCAATTCCTTAAAATACCTTTGCATAGCAACAATGCTGACATGAGCATGAAATATAAGCTTAACCTGTTCTCCCACCTATATCTGACTTAAACAGTAAGTCCTAACTCAGACCACGATTTTTTAGACTGCTTTCCTCTCACTCAAGTCCGAACCTGGTTTTTCTAAGTGAACATACATATACACTGTTATCTAAAATTCATCTTTAAAGTCCCATATACACAAATCCCTATGTGTGTTTTGCCACCCTCATGTAACTGTATTTGCACTCAACCATGAAGTTACCTTCACATGTTTCAGTAGCTTACGCAGACCCCATGGTACCACAAAGACCCAATTCTCTCCTTTCCAAGAAGGATCCGTAGAGTAGTCGATCTCCGCATCCTGAAGCAAGCCTAGTTCTCCCTCCTTGTTCTCCTTGTGCTTGATCAAGCGAGTTGTATAATACTGCACAGCAAAGAAATCAGCAGTGCCTTTGATCATTTTCTTCTCTTCTTCTGTAAATTCAGGAAGCCTGGATGATGGGTAACCTTGCCTTTTACTCATGGATGCTATCTGGGACTTGACAACTTCAGGATAATCACCATCAATGAATATGGGTTTAGCGAATACACCCAGCTCAAAAGCAAGGGCTCTCTCTGAAGCTTGCTTGTCAGATGCTGAGTTGGGATCTGCTGGTTCCAACCAGACAGTGAAAAATGACAGGGACACCAGGCCTTTCTGCTCTTTCCTGAATAAAGAATTATAGCTGTGCCAGGCTCTGGCATGAGCCTTAATCAAGTTATGAGCTGCCTGATAACCTCCAGTCCCAACGTGGGGTACTGCAGGAGGAAAGAAACCCAAGTCATAAGCTAGAATGGCAAAAACATTAGGCTCATTCATGGTGATCCAATGCTTTACTCGATCCCCAAACGTACTGAAGCAAAAGCGAGCATATTGGTCAAAGACATCAATGGTTGCTTCTGACAGCCAACCTCCTTTGTCTTCCAAAGCTTGAGGCATATCAAAGTGGAAGAGTGTCACCATGGGTATAATCTTATTTTTCAACAAATCATCAATGATCTTGTTGTAATAGTCAACTCCTAAAAGAAAAGAAAAAAGGGAAAAGTTATTCTCAGACCATTTATAATACATTGTCAAAGGGAAAGAATCAGAAGCAATTTTAAATGAATTTTATTCAAACTAAAGTATGTTACTTCCCAGCAACACTTAATGGAAGATGGCTTGGCGCTGAGGCCTAGCACATAAAGCCATCACCTGTGATTCTGGCATCCTACATGGGCACAAGTTCACACCTGAGATGCTCTACTTCAATCCCACACCTTGCTAATGGCTTGGAAAAAGCAGCAGAAGATGGCCCAAGAAATTTGGCCTCTGTTATCCATGTGACCGACCTCAATGAAGCGCCTAGCTTCTGGCTTTGATTTGATAAAGAGACAGCTGGCTGTTAGAGACAACTGGAACATGAACCCAGTGGATAAAAGATCTCTCTCTATCTCTCCCTCTCTATATATAATCTGAATTTCAAGTAAATAAATAATGTTCATTAAAAAAAAGAGAGGAACTAGAATTTCAAACAAGATTGAGAGTGACAAAGTAACATGATTTGAAACTCACCTAAAATGAGTCCATTTAGGCAAGCCTCCATCACCTAGCTGTACTTTTGTAAAGGTTGATTTTTTAAAATTTTTATTTATCTTAGAGGTAGAGTTACACAGAGCAGAAGAGAAATAGAAGACAGACATTTCTGTCTGCTAATCACTCTTCAAATAGCTGTAACAGTCAAGGCTGGGAAGGTCGAAGCCAAGAGCCTGGAACTTCCAGCTGTCTTCTACATGAATACAGGTTCCAAAGGGCCTGGGAAATCTTCCACTGTTCTTTCAGGTACACTCACAGGAAGCTGGGTCCAAAGAGGAGCAGCTGGGATTCAACTGGCACCCATATGAGATGCTGGTGTCACAGGAAAATGTGTAGCCCCCCTATGCAACAATGCTAGCACCCTAACTTTGCATTATAGGCACTCTTATTTTGAAATTATTTTATTTTTGTAAACTCAGTTATATCTTTTCAATTAGTATTCTAGGATACTAACTCCATGATAACAAGTGTAATATATCCAGTACATTTCTGGATTTCCAATCCTGGAAGAATGCCCAATATTTATTAGATGGTAAATACTTGTTGAATGAATGTAAGGCCCTATGCAATAAAAGACTTAATCCAGATGACTCTCTCAATGCTTTTTCAGACGTGTTATTCTCATAGTCTGGAAACACCTGTGGAAAAGATCTCTCCCTCTGTCCCAGTGTGTTCCAAGTTCAGTAGTCCATAGTCGCGTGGTGTTAAGGGCACCTGATGCTATTGCCAAGACTGCAATAATGCATAGCCATTCCTGGCTCTGGGCTGACTCTACACAGCTGCACATATGCAAGAGAGGAGTGTTTCAGGACTGTTAGACTTCAGATGAATGTTACTAACTTGAAGATTATTTTGAACAAACCCAATGCTGAGAAGATATTGTGTTTGACCTAACAATGATTCACTTTAGAAATTTATGAAGAAAAGCTGATATTAGTGACTACCAGGATCTTATTATTAAGTGTATGGAAGCACACACTCTCTCTCTTTTTCTTCCTCTCTCTCTCTCTAACCTGTCTCTAAAATAAACACAGTTGAGAAAACAAATAACTTCTAAAAAATAATAATTCAGACTGTACTTCATTTGATCATTCACTTGTACATTCATTAAATTCATGTTGATAGAAAAGCTAGGAAGGAAATGTGAGCATAAGCAAAAATATTTTCATAGATTTTTACTTATATATTTAAAAACCAGAAAAAAAATTTTTTTTGTATTCACTTGTTGATTCACTTCCAATGCCCATAGCAACGAGGGATGGTGAGCCAGGCTGAAGCCAGGATCCAGAAACCCATTTCAGGTTTCCCATTATGAGTGACTGGGACACAGTTACTTGAGCCTTCAGTGCTACCATGTTCGCTATGCACTAGTAGAAAGCTCAGTCAGAGAGCCAGGACTCAACCCCAGCAATTCCAATATGAGACATAGATTTTCCAGTGACTAGAGTGCTGTACCCACCTGTTACCCTAGTAGGCAACGCATCTGTCTTCAAGATTATTAAGAGAGGCTACAGATAAATTCATAAACGATTATATTAATGCACTCCCCATAATGAGAGAATCCTGAGTCTGCATAAAACCCAGGGCATTTGAAAACTCATTCTGAAAGTTACAGAGTATAATGGATTTATCAGTGAACTATGGTAAAACCTATATTGCAACACAGTACCTTCAGCCACGAACTCTGTGACCTTGGAAATGCTACTTGAACCCTCTGAATTATCTTCCCCCATCTGTGAAATGTGGGTAATACTAGAAACTTACTTCAATGAATTGTCACAACTGTTTAATGAATTGATAAATGGAGCATGCTCAGCAAAGCTCTTGGCATTTAGGAAGGACTCGGTACAAACTAGCAATCATTCCAGCAAAAAGAATCTTCGTTGCTGATGTCATTAATGAACATCTAAACTGATTCACTAAAAGATAAATACAAGTAATCCATAAAAGGCAAGGAGGAAAGAGTAAGTCAGGAATTGAGAAAAAGAATGAAAAGACCAAAGGAGATATGGGAATCAAGAGCTCCACGCCCCCCAAACAGGAGAAACTGGATGCTTATTTAGAATTTGCTACACTAAGGAAGTCAGCCACCATCACATATTGCATGGCAGATTCTACACAGGTAGTCAGACAAGAGAAAGCATTTTAGAACCTGAAAAAGGAGATTTCAGGTATGCTCTGATTGGGGCCTATTGGCTGGGAAGATGGAGACAGGGTAATTAGAAGTGAGACCGCCTGTGCAATTGCTTCGGGGGACATGGTTGGCTTCCTCTGATTTGTCTTGAGGTGGAAGCAGGGGAAACAGGAGAAAACTATGGAGCAGCTGGTACTTTAGATCACATTCTGACTATTCTGCTGGCTTGCAGAGGTTAGCTGCCTGGGCTTATTATGTAGGTCAGAGTCTTATTTGACCTGGCCACTGTTTGAATATTCCTTCTCTTAGAAGAGGTTGGAACTTTCAAAAAGCTGAAAGGTCTGTAAGCAGAGAAAGCACAACTTATCAGAAGAGAAAGAATGGGAAGAAGGGAACAGGGTAAACAGAAGCCAAATTAAACACAATTATGTTTTCTATTTAAAAGGGTACTTAAAAACAACAGCTTCTTCATTTTGCAAGCTAGCATATAATATAACTCCAAAACTTGAAGAGATATTTGAATGATAGTTCTCACTCTGGCAGCCATTACAGCTTTTCCTTCTCCCATGGATGTCTAGGAATGAATGTGTTATTACAGGACAAATGGAACTCCACACATGCAATTAAGGTAAGTACTTTGAAATGGGACGATTTTCCCCGACTATTAAAATGAGTCCTTAAAAGTTCAGCAGTAAGAAAGCAAAGTGGTTAGGAAAGATTTAACAAGAAGAAATTGAGGGGTGGTAACTTAAGAAGGGCTTAACGCATCATTGCTGTTTTTGAGGACAAGGAAGGGAACACAAGCCAAGGAATGTAGAATGTCTCTGAAAGCTGAAAATGGGCCTCTGCTGATAGGCACCAAGGGATAAGGATCTCAGTCATGCAACCACAGGAACCAAATTCTACCAACCAGCTGAATAACCCAAGAAGCAGCTTTTCCAGAGAATCTTCTGGACGAATTGTAACTGCAGACACTTATTTTTCCCCCTTGAGGAGAACCGAGTCAGACTCTGACCTACTGAACTCTACAGCAACAAATACGTTGGTTCAAGCAACTAAGGTTGTGATCATTTGTGATACTAGCAAGCAGGAGATATCAAATTTTTTTTTTTTTTACTGAGAGCATTGCAATATTGCATCCCCTGGATGCCCACATTTTGTAATTTGTACATAAGAAGTCCTTAGATGGTATGATGGAATAATCTTAAGATTTATTTCACTTATTTCATTTATTTGAAAAGGGTGTGATGGGTAGACAGAGGTATCTTCCAATCACTGTTAAACTTCCTAAAAGCTGGTATCCAGTGGCTGGGACCTCCATCTGGGTATTGAGCCATCTTCTGCAGTTTTCTCAGGCACATTGCAAGGAACTGAACTGGACGTGGAACAGCCAGGACCTGAACTAGTGCTCCAATAAGACAAGATGGTGTCACAGTCAATAATTAAACCTCCTGTACCTGAATTGGAGAAGGTTTAACATTAATATGTGTGAAGGTTCCAAAACCAACATTTCACTGGGTTTAAACATAAGACATATTACCTTCAGTTGACTACAGTCTTGTACTACACTAGCAGATGTCACATGTTTTGTTTAACCCTACCACTGAACCCAAGAAATGAGCATTTTTTTCCCATTAAACATAAGGGGAACCAGATTCAAAGCTTCCACATCATCAAGTGGCAGTCTGTTCAGTAACAACTCAGAGCTGTCCCCACCATAACATACTGGACCACTTCTCTTATGTTCTCATTTCTGAACCAGAAATTCATAACTATTTTGACTATCCTTTACAATCACTTACTCAAACCTTTTCACAGTGTCAGATTTTACTTGTTCGTTTCTTGTTTAGCTCTTTGGATTTAGTTCAAATGACAGGATAATCATTAGTTAATTTTAAGATAAATTTTCTCTCCTCATCATGGTCTGTAACAGAACATTGCATAACTAATAGTTAATATCCCATAACCAAGTACTTGACTTCTGGTTTGTTCTGTTTGTTAGATGCTGAAATGAAACTTTTCCACGTGGCAGCAGGGTGGATTTTGAAGAACAGATTTTGGCACATTCCAACAGCTTGAGATCCTGTGACATCTCTTTCAGGGATGTTTGACAGACGAAATTAGAGATATTGTCAAAGCTAATGTACGTTGTTATCAGACTAGAGCAATTCAGTGATAACTAATTCTCAAATTTTCTGAATAGATTTATAGTTTTAAATGGCCAGCAATGTGGACATCTAGAAACACTGAGCAGTCATTTGGATTGTGATCTCCCACTAGGTATTTAGGGTGGGATTGATTCTCTTAAAG